TAGATTTTTAAAAACAGTGTAGGGTAACCCAAAACATTGATCAAATGAAAGCTATATATCAACCAGGATGAAAAAAAAGAGCCAAAGGAAGGCTGGTGAATTGGATGGCAAGCAGTCATACCACTTTAACTACTAGCCAGACACATTTCTGAATTTTACTTTCATTCATCTAAGATATGTAATCTACATCTGCACAAGGAACAGACTGTTGTCCTGGGTCACATGCAAAGTCAGGAACATTCCGCTAAGGAGGAAAAGATGTTGCCTTTGAAAAGGCCAGTGGAAAATCCCAGGAGAAAAGGAAAGTGAAGCTATATGCTGAGGTTGGGAAAAGGAAAGGAACCTCTTTAGCCTCTGTTAAAAACAAAGAGTTAGTAAAAAAACTGGAGGGAGAAGCTTGGTGAAAAACCCTCATGAAAGGAAGCAGGAACCCTACTTGCAGGCATCATTTCTTCCTACAGCACAGATAACATTTCTAGATGAGCTAGAAATAATGCATAATGTTGCTTTTTAACAGTGTGCATTGCTATTGGCCCCGTACATATCCAGTCCTTCTATGCAAACCCGCACCTCTTCCTGTCAGAACTGCTTTTATATTAGTAGCAGATCTATCATCCTTTGAACTGCTAAGAGTTTTATGTTCTCCTGTATATTCTTTCTAATTGGATATTCTTTTCATAGGTCTGTGTTTTGAACAGTTCTGTATTCTTATAGCCTCTACCACATCCAACTACTTAAAAGTTAAAAAGGAGCCACCACAGTCTCCCTTTTCCTTTTTTGATTTTGAATGAAGTTTGATTCTTTTTATTTCTTGTGATATTGGCCTCATCCTACATGGGAGAAGGGGCTGGTTTTCATAATCACATGCTTTAATGCTACAAGACCAGGAAATTCATGTGCTGAAGAAATTCCCTTTCATTATTCCCCCCACCTCCTTTTTAACCTAAGAAACACATACTGTGAGGGCCCTCCCCCCCTCTCTCTCTCTCTCTCACACACACACACACCCACCCACCCACACACACACACACACAAGAGTTGGAAGGGATGACATCGGGCAAAGACACACCTAGGAAAATAGATAGTGGCAGCACTAATGCTGCAGCCAAAGCAAGCAGCAGAGCTAGAGTAGTAGGGAGATGAGAAGAGAACCAACAGCATTTCACACTATGGGTTTAATTTTGCCAGTACGGGGAGTTCTGCAATAATACTGGCAAATGCAGATTAAAGGGCAACATCTAGAAGAGTTTTCACACATCCTGTCTTATCTTGGCTTGTCAGTTCTTGAAATGTCTTTATGTTGTAAAAAAAAAAAAATAGGAAGATGAAACAATATGTTTCTATATGGCCTAGTTTTAACAATATACTAAAGTTTTAACAACATACTAAAGGTCTGAGCTTGTTTAATATTATATGGATCATTTAAAAATGGTTTACAATTAGTTCATTTTAACCATGGTTTTATATATGTATATGTATGAATACATGTGGATTATTGTAGCGTTACTGTATTTTGTTGTTGTTGTGTGTTTGTTTTTATATATTTATGTTGTTATTATATTTCACCAAATGAAGAAAGCATTTAAAAGCAGAGGGTGTGCTCTTCAGGATAAGCCATTCAACTAACAGTACAACATTGTGCAAGTTGACTTAGTAACATGTCTCTTTCATTTCCATGAGATTGATCCCCAAGAAAGTTTGTTTAAGGCTGAAGCCTAGTTGACCAAGCATCGTTACTCAGACATAAAGCCTCCAAGTCCCATGTAGTTCAAACATGAAGTAATATGTAGACTTTACTCCAGCATACAGTTAGTGTACTTAACCTCATTTAAATCACAGCTTGTCAGTTCCAAGTGCCATTTAAAACATACTTTTGTCCTCTCAAATTTGGTCTTGTGATTCTCTTACCACTGAACATTTCATGTGAAGAAACCTACATAACCAAAACTGCAGGCTCAGCACTGATTACCATCAAAGCATAATTGAGGAAGGCATTTTTTTTAGATGTTCCCTTCTTAAATATCGCCCCGGTTTTCATGCAGTCAACCATGAGTATCTTCTTGATTGATTTGAGTGGGTTTTCTGCAAGCTGTTTCGGCAAGCCTGCCTTTAAAATATCTATGAGCCTATTCATGCTGAAGAACTAGACGCAGTGTTTCTCAACCTGGACAATTTTAAGGCATATGGACTTCAACTCCCAGAATTCCACAGCCAGCATTGCTGGCTGTGGAATTCTGGGAGTTGAAGTCCACATGCCTTAAAATTGTCAAGGTTGAGAAACACTGAACTAGAGGGACTAGAAATTAGTTCATCTTTGCATTAGAAGACCCGAAGTTTTTCAAAAAATGTTCAAGGCACTGTCACATATTTAATAGCCGGAAAGGAGCAGGATGTAGTATACAGTTCCTCCCAAGGTTCTTTCTAGGCTAAGTTTAGATTCTTATCATCTTCCATCATCATTGCAGGAACAAATTTTGGGAGCAATTAGAAGTTGGGCAATCATCACCCAGTTAATTCAAATAACTGATAGAGAAAAAGAGGAGAGGAAGAGATTCTAAGCTAATCATTTCAGCTATGACCACAGTATTTTTAAAATCATTTATAAGAAGGAAAGAAAAAACGAAAATATTCTCTCAATATTTCAGAGAACCAGAATCACACCTCTTTAAAGAGGCATGGCATATATCAAACGCTGATACTGGGATATATTTATGAATCCAGATAACTTTTACTAAACAGCCCCCACCTTATACAGCCATGTAGGTTGGTCATTTTTCTTTCCCCACCCCTTCAACTTGTCTTGCCAAAAACTGACAGCTGCTTCAGCCACTGCAACTGAAGATTTCTAGTGGGAGGGAGCATTCCTGAGGATCCATGTTCACCTTGATCCCATCCATCCATCCATCCATCCATCCACCCGCCCGCCCACCCACTCTCCTTTAACCAAAGATCCGGGAATAGGAACTGGTGGCCTGTAGTTATTCCTAAATAGCAACTCTGAACAGTACACCAATATGACCAATATAAAGGATACTGACAGAGGATCTGGAGCAGTGCTTCTCAACCTTAGCAACAAAAGTCAAAGCTTCCATTTTCTCCATCACTATGAGCTGGAAGGACTTGGTTTTTCTTATTTATGTATATTTAAAAAATGCTTATGTAACTAAGATTGAACATTATACTTCTGGGTGCCCTCTAGATATATTAAGCAACACCTGTCAACCCCAGCCAACATGAATGACAAAATATTATCAACCTTAGCAAGTCAGAATATCTACAAGGTGAGATTTCCTGCAATTATAACTCTTACTCTAATCTGAATGCCTTGAAAGCTAATTAAATAATTTTCCCCCTTCTATTCTATTAGCTCTCCCCAAACAATCAAGTATAGCCAAAATATATTAAACCTAGTATTATTTTTTCTCCTCTCAGAATATCTGTTGGTAGAGAGGATTAAGTTAGGAGGAGATTGCTCTTGCTGATTCTTCCCAGCAAAGAGGTGCCAAAACAGTCCAAGAATTAAAGTAAAGGAAGGTGTAGATGCCGGTAGCTGTATGCTCCATCCTCATATTGTCTCTACTCACCTCCACTGCTCATTCTAGAAATGGGTTGAAAAATATTTAATAAAAAACATGATGTTAGGATGGCAGCCAAATGGGGCTATGTCATTAATTGTAAGAAAAAAGATCCAAAATTGTATTAAATTGTATTGTCTATGTCAGTGGTTCTCAACCTATGGGTCGGGACCCCATTTGGGTCGAACGACCATTTCACGGGGGTCGCCAAACAAGGCTGTCCGCCATTTTTTCCCCTTTTCTTTGGCCACGCCCCTGGCACCCGGTGATGTATAAGTGGTTGGGGGTCACCACAACATGGGGAACTGTATTATGGGGTCGCGGCATTAGAAAGGTTGAGAACCACTGGTCTATGTGTACATATGTGCTAATACAAATAGTCCTCGCTTAACAAAGGATCTCCTGTTTAGCAACCAATTACAACAGTGCTGAAAAAGGTAACTTTAAAACTGGTCCTCACATTAACGACCATCACAGAGGCCCCACAGTTACATGAGATTCAGGCATTTCACAATTGGCACACATTTATGACCATCACAGGTCCCGCCATCACATTAACTGCCATTTGCATGCTTCACAGCTGGCTTGTGACAAGCGGAGTCAATGGAGAAGTCAGCAATAAAATCACAAGTCGCAGTCAACTGATGTCTCGCTTAGTGACCACACCCCTTAGCGATGGATATGCCAGTTCCTATTGTGAACATTAAGAGTGTACACATAACTGTACACACAGAGAGTGATTGGACATACCAGACCATTCTATAATAAACTTCTTTCAAACCAAACTTATTCAATTCTGATTAATAGCATGGCCCAAATTGTATAAGCTATTGCAAGTGCTGATTCTGGCATCTGCAATCTTGGCACTAATTTGGGAGCAAGTCTCTCTGAATTCCAGGGAAGTTGCTTGCCTCACGGAATTCAGCTGTTGTTAGCATAGCACCCGTCCATCTTTACACACACACACACACACACACACACACACAGAGACACGCTGATAAGCGCCAATAAGGCCCTTCAATGGGAGTTTGGGGAGGACGCCTTTCTCCATCATCCTAAGAAAATAAAAGACTGGGAAAGGCCACGCAAACTCCCCACCGTAAATGCCTCCAGTACGACGCCACCGTGGTCCAGGTTAGCGTGGCTTCCCCTCCTACGCTACATCATGTTTACGGATGCCCTTTAAGACAAGCTAGATGCTAGCCCGCTCGACGGATGACAGCTGAGCAAGCTGGCTAATGCTCGGCCGCCTTCGCAAATCGACGCCGCTTATAGCCCCTGCACACGGGCGAGCGCTCCATCTCATCGCCGGACGCGGAGCCCTTCAGCCGCCGCGCCGGCGATGCGGGCGGCCTAGCCAGAGTAGCGCCCGAGGGATACCGCCTGCGAGGAAATACAACGAGCCCGGCGACGGCGACGCCTCACCCTTCTCTTGCTGCTGTTGCTGCTGCTGCTGTTGTTGACGGCGCCGTCCTCGGAAAGAGAAAAGCCCGCCGCCTCGGCCGCCTCTGCCCAGTGGGCGCCTCCTGAGCTCTGTCGCTCCCGCCGGGGTTTGCATGGACCACGCGCTGCCGCCCGCTCCTCAGGGGCGCGAGCAGCCTGGCCAGGGTGTGGGCGCCCCGCGCATTCTGCCGCTGCTGCTGCTGCTGCGGCCGCCGCTGCTGCCCAGGCTGGTCTGCGCGCCTTCCTCGCCTCGGCGGCAGGCTGCTTTCTGCTCGTCTTCCCCCCCTCCTTCTGTCCCTTGAGGAAGGAAGAAGGTGGGGAGAGGGGAGGGGGGGAGGAGGAGGAGGAGGAGAGAAAGGGAATAGCTAATCTGAGCACAAGGGCGCCATTAAGCTTCTGTGGCTTTGCAGCCGGAGCGGGGCTGCTTTGAAGCGACCGCTAAACTGGGGACGCCGCGGATGCCCTGCGCGCCCTCTGCTGGCGTGCTGTGCGCAAGACAAGGGGCAGAGCCTGCCCAGGCAACTTTGGGCTTGGGCGGACGGCGCGATCCAAGGCAGAGGCACTCGCTTTTGCGGGCTCCTTTGGATGCTATCAGTCCGCGATCAATCAGTCAGAATAGAACTGGAAGGGACGTTGGAGGTCTTCTAGTGCAGCCTCCTGCTCAAGCAGGAGACCATTTCAGACAGGTTGGCTGTCCAGTCTTTTCTTTAAAACCTCCAGTGATAAAGCGCCTACAACGTCTGAAGGCAAAAGCTGTTCCATTGGTTAGTTGTCCTCACTGTTAGGAAGTTTCTCCTTCATTCCAGGTTGCTTCTCTCTTTGATTAGTTTCCACCCATTGTTTCTTGCGTTGCCTTCAGGTGCTTTGGAGAATAATTTGACCTCTTTTTCTTTATGGCAGCCCTTCAGATACTGGAATACTGCTATCATGTCATCCCCAGCCCTTCTTTTAGCTAGACTAGCCATACACAGGGAAATGAAACAGCTTCCTTCTGAGCCAATCTGTTGTCTTTGGGAGCAGATAGGTTTTTCCCGAGAAAAATTTATGTCCCTTGCTCCCTGGCTCAGCCATGGGATTTTAGAGACTTTACATTGGAAAATGTAAAGCAAAAGGTGGATTCCATATTTTCCTGTACTCTTCTAACCCGCCTCTCTTCCTTTTTTTTCTAACCCAGACTGTCCCTACCATTAACCAGAGCATTAAGTTGTAACCTAAAATGGCAAATGCTAAAAGACAAGGCATGGCTGAACCGTAGAATTTGATGCACTTATTGGTGATGACCATCGTTTTCTTTACATTGTCCCATGTCCAAAGTACAACTGCAGTTGTTGCCTCATGCCCGAGGTAAATTAAAACTCAGTGATCAGGGCAATTTACGTTCCTGCCCACTGCTTATGCACCAGAGACAAATTCTTTGTGTGTCCAATCACACTTGGCCAATAAAGAATTCTAGTCTATTCAAGGGCTGGAGGAATGCATTTTAATGTAGCCATCTGGGTGTATCCTAGTTAGACAGCTTTATAACAGGATTCATCAAATTCATCATTATTAGTCTTTATTATTTTCAAAGTCACCCTCCAATGTGGGCATTTGAGCTTGGCCACAGTGTGATCAATGGACTCTGCAGAGAATGTCAAGAGGAGGCAAGGATGGGAGGGGAGACAAATGGCAGAAGCTCCCTCTTTAGATACACTTTTGCTTCCTTTATGTCCATTGTGATGTCATACATACCAAAGGAGTGAACCTTTGATGCCCCTGTCCTCATTATGATGAAAGCATTGGGTTATGTAAGACACAATGTTAAATGAGAAGAAATCTTTACTTGATCTTTAAAAGAAGGAACCTGAAATACCTGCAGCCTCTGATTTACAGCCATTCGTTTAGCAACAGTTCAAAGTTATGACAGCAGTGAAAAAAGTGACTTACAATTGTCCTTGCATTTAACTATTACAGCAGTGGTTCTCAACCTGTGGGTCGGGACCCCATTTGGGGTCGAATGACCATTTCACGGGGGTCGCCAAACAACGCAGTCTGCCATTTTTTCCCCCTTAGCTGTGCTACTCCCTTTTATTCTATTGGCTTTTAAAAGCCAATAGAATAGACTCTCTTGAATAGAGTCTAATTCTATTGGCTTTCAAAAGCCAATAGGAATTGTCCAGACTCTCTCTGCCCTGCTGAGCCCACCAAAAGTCCCATTCTGCAAACGGTGCTGCACCAGTTGAGTAGTCCTCAACTTATGACCGGTTGAGTAGTCCTCGACATATGACCGGTTGGGGGTCACGGCATTAAAAAGGTTGAGAACCACTGTATTACAGCATCCACAGGGCCACGTGATCAAAATTTGGGTTCCTGGCAACCAGCAACTATTTATGATAGTTGCAGCATTCCAGGAACATATGTTCACAATTTGTGACCTTCCTAGCTGACTTCCAACAAGCAAAACCAAGGAGGAAGGCAGATTCATATAATGACCATGTGAGTCACATAATAGCTAGGCTGATTCACTTAACAACCATGGCAAAGAGGTTCCAGAAAACAGGCATAATTTGCTTAACAACTGCCACATTTAGCAACGGAAGTACCAGTCTCATTTGTGGTTGTAAGCTGAGGACTACCCACCTATACTTTTGACTGGTCGTGTTAAGAACTTTCTGTCTCTGTGGAGGTATCAGTGTTGAATTAGAACTGGAACTCTTGTCAACTCTTGTGGCTACAGCTCCCAGAATTCCTGTACCTTATACTTCTAGGAGACCTAAATACATTTATTTGCTGATTGCCAAAATTACAGGAGAGTAGCAAGTAGCATTGTAACATTGGCACATCACTGGATGTAGTAGTAGAATAGCATTCAGAATGGTTGCATTCATAATTGCTTTTGTATTGCTTGCTTGAAACTGAAAAAAAAACCCTGGTTTTATAGTCCTGTGAAAAAGTAAGCACGCTCTCTGTGAGTTCTGTGGTTTTACGTATCAGGACATAGTAAAAATCATCTGGTCCTTAGCAGTTCCTAAAAGCGCAACCTCAGGTGAACACACGTCATCATTTATGTTACAAAAAGAAAGCCAACATGGAGAAGCCATGTATGAAAAACTAAGTTCGCCTTATGATTCAATAGCTTGTAGAACCGCCTTTAGCCGTAATAATTTGAAGTAATTGTTTTCTGTATGACATTTTCAGTCTCTCACATCGTTGTAGAGAAATTTTGGCCCATTGTTTACAACATCGCTTCAGTTCATTGAGGTTTGTGGGCATTTGTTTATGTGCAGACACAGCATTTCAGTTGGGTTGAGATCTGTACTTTGACTGGGCCATTGCAACACCTTGATTCTTTTTTTTCTCCAGCCATTCTGTTGTAGATTTGCTGGTGTGCTTGGGATCATTCACCTGTTGCATGACCCAATGTCAGCCAAGCTTTAGCTGTTGGATAAATGGCCTCACATTTGACTCTAGAATATTTTGGTATACAGAGGAGTTCATGATCAACTCAATGACTGCAAAGGCCCAAGACCTGTGGCTGCAAAACAGGCCCAAATCATCACCCTTCCATCACTGTGCTTGATGGTTGGTATGAGTTGTTCGTGCTGATACACTGTGTTTGGTTTTCACCAAACATGGCACTGAACATTATGGCCAAATATCTCTACTTTGGCCTTGTCTGTTCAAATGACTGCTCCAGAAGCCTTGTCATTTCAATCAATCAGAAGAGAGCTGGAAGGGACTTTGGCGGTCTTCTAATCCAACTCTCTGCTCATGCAGTAGACCCTGTACCATTTCAGATAGGTGGCTGTCCAGTCGTAAAAACCTCCAGTGATGAAACACCCACAATTTCTGAAGGCAAAGCTGTTCCACTGGTTAATTGTCCTCACTGTTAAGAAGTTTCTCCTTAATTCCAGGTTGCTTGTCTCCTTGATTAGTTTCCATCCATTGTTTCTTTTCTTGCCTTGGAAAATAAGTTGACCCCCTCTTCTTTGTGGCAGCCCCTAAAATACAGGAATACTGCTATCATGTCATCACTACTCCTTCTTTTGTCTAGACTGGCCATATCCAAGGCAAGGCAGGACAGGGGTGCCATTGTCTCAGGGCAAAGTGAGGCAGGGGCTGGGGCAGCTGCTGCCTGACACCAACGGCCCCCGCACACAGAGGCCAGCGAGCGCATGGGGGCCCGTCAGCAGCCACAGCCTGCCGGCCCCTCAACCGACAGTTGAGGAGGTGATGCAGTGAGTTGTGCATGGGAAAAGGAGAGCATGCGAAGCCAGGAGGGAAAGGGCGGGGAAGAGGGAAACCAACCGTGCTGGGATGCATCTGGGACCTTGGCGAGTTAGCGGGCGGCTGGTTGAAGAGGGACGGTTGCCATCTCAGGGGCATGGCGCGCGTGCCCACAGAGAGGGCTCTGAGTGCTGCCTCTGGCATGAGTGCCATAGGTTCTCCACCACTGGCCTACAACTTTGACTTTTATAGAGATAGTTACACTTGCTGATGATCAGTGGATCATACCTGTGGAAGCAGTAAGGATGTACTAAGTTTTTCACAGGTGGCTTCTCCGTTTCAGCTTTCTTTTTGTAAAATAAATGATGACATGGTGTAATATGTCATGTGTTGTTGTTCATCTGAGGTTGTATTTACCTACTTTTAATAACTGCTAAGGACCAGATGATTTTTACTATGTTGTGATACGTAAAATCACAGAACTCAAAGAAAGTGTACTTACTTTTTCACACGACTGTAGGTTTTGATGTTTAAAATGATTTTGTCATGTTAGAAATGCCTTGAAATGTTTTGAAAGGCAAAGAAAAAGGTGGAAGTTGTATTATTTTTGCAATCTATTGCACTGGAGAAAGTCAAACTCATTACTTTTCTTTCTCTCTTTGCACTTTTCTTTTTCTAACTTTCGTTTCTTCTATATTTTTTTATCTTATGGAGAAATATAATAAAAAGTATTAAATCAGAATGCTTGCATTCACGTGTATTGATTGCTCTGAGGTTTTAAGTCATGAAGGTAATGTGATTTGGATGTGGACTTTCAGGCTTTATTTAAACAACATTGTATCTGAAGAAGGGCAATTTTTACTAAACTGCTCTGGAATGAAGCTCCGTAATTGCTTCTGTGGTATTTTACATATTTGGGGGGGGGTGCAGTTATGCAAGACATCTACCTAGATGAAATGGAAGAATGCTGGGTGCATTTCAGTCCCACTGGAGTTGAATGTGATTATGGTTAGTGCAATAAAAATAGAGAATTAAGAGAACTGCAACTTACAATGCCTTTTCAGTTATTTTTTCCCTCAGTGGTGTACAGTACTAAATCTTTAAATAGAAACTGTGGCTTTGGTCTAAATTTGTGCCTGGCAGCTGTACATGCTTACCAAAAACAGCTTAAACACTGTATTTCAAACATTACCATGCTATTTAAGAGTAAATAAAATTACCAGCAATTAAAAGGATCATAGTCAAGTTAGGTTTGAACATTTCAATTATTATTCAATCAATTAATATTGAACATTGTTGAACTACTGCCTTCCCCCCCCCCAAAAAAAAAAAAGCTTAAAGCAGTAATTAAGGAGATAATTCAGATATATGTGTTTATTACAGTTACATTAAGCTGCAGGCCTGGATAGTCTGTGACATTTTGTCCAGCATTAGCTGGATAGCAGCTAATAAATAGTCTTTTCACTGTTAGGAGGGTATGATAAATCTTTTTCATTTACATTTTAATGCAAGTAGTTCTAACTATCCAAATCAGAATGTGAAACTCAGCTACCTTTTTTCCCCCTCTGGATTTTATAATTTTAATCACAAAAAGTGCGTAAGTTACAACAGTGCTTTTCAATCTCAGCAACTTTAAGCTGTGTGGACTTCAACTTCCAGAATTCCCCAGAAAAAAAATGCATGTGTGTGTGTGCGGTGGGATTTTTGGGAATCCAAGCAATTTCTGAACAGCAGTAAGAATTATACAGTCTGCTTATCTTTTAACAGTTTTCTATATATTTGTCAGTCAGAAGAACAATGGGTTGTCCACATCTGATCCTCCAAAACAATTTAGGCCGGGGGGGGGGGAGAGAAGGATTAAGATCTGAACTCTTAATAGGCAAAAGTTTTGTTAATGCAGCAACCAAAGTTATTAGAGATAGATATGGAGTGAACGGTTTTCAGCCTTACCCGTGAACATAAACAAAAGGGGTTGTGGTTAAGGTGCTGGCCTAGAAAGGAGGAGACTGTGAGTTCTAGTCCTGCCTTAGGCAAGAAAGTCAGCTGAGGGATTTGGGCCAGTCACTCTCCCAGTCCAATTCACCTCATACTGTAGGTTGTGGGAACAATAGAAAGAAGAATTAGGTATGTTTTTTCTTTTTAATTATATATAAAGGAAAGTAGGATAAAAATCTAATAATGGTATTATTCCAAATATTTTAAGCATCAGTTAGGGCATATTCTGAAATGGGGGCTCCTTTTCCCCCGTGAGACTAAATACAAAATGGATAGACCACATTTATAACAATATAAATCAATGTCTTTTTTTCCCTTCCAAATAGAGATCAAACATTTAACTTGACCAAATAATATATAAGAAAGCCAGTTTGATGTGGTGGTTAAAGGATCAGGCTAGACACCAGGAGACTGTTGAGTTCTAGTCTCACGTAGGCATGAAAGCTGGCTGGGTGACATTATGCCACTCTTCTCTCAGCCCTAGTAAACTATTTTTGAAAATCTTTGCCAAGAAAACTGTAGTAGTCCAGGCAGTTGCCAGGAATCAACACAATTCACAAGGCACAGACAAAAATATTACATTATAAATTCCTGTAAAAGATTGAACTATTTTATTCAACAGGGATGCAACTTACCAGTAAATATTATTGGTATATATAGTATTCCTGCTGGTAAATAAATGATGCAATTGCTATAATTGAAAGAATAGGGTAAACTGAAATTTTCAAATTTTACTATTCCCTTGTGCTAACTTTGAAAATAATGTAAAATCCTTTGCAGAATGCAAAGTAAGGATAAAAATATGACTGTTCCCTTCGGTCAAGTTGGATATTTGGTGACATTCATATAGCTTTTTTTCTGCAAAAAATGGAACTCATTTACCATTGACAGGACTGCCTCTTACTAGGAATTTTATTGACTTTTCTGTCTAGACTGAAGTTCTGGCCTTTCCTGCTCATCTCCCATCCAAGTTCTAATCAGTCCAGCCCCATGTAATTTTCCAAGATCAGCCAAGTAAATAATAGAAAATTACTTTCTTTTTTTTTTTTTGGTGGTGATGGTGGATGCATTTTATGTTAATGCACAGCAGCTGGAACTAGAAAGGATTCCTTCTTTCACTGGTGTTAACCCAAATTAACTCTGGAAGGTGGGGACCCTCAAATAGATCCAAAGGAGACATTAGGTGCAGGTAAGAGAGACACCATCCCCTTGTATACATAGCCAAAGTAGCATTCTGAACAGCAACAGAAATATCTCCACAAAAGTAGCAGTATGGGGATAAGCAAACAAGAGGCAGTATTTAAATCTGTGTTAGAAATGAGCTTCTTTTTTTCCAATGAACTAATCAGTTGAATTCTAGCATCTGGCAAAAAAAATCTGAGTATAGATTGGATGAATGAATCACTTTGAATGAATGAATTTGCAGCAAAAATTACTCAAATTATATATTTTTAAAATCACGTTTATTGAGCTTATATAACTATCTAGCTCAGTTAAAAACAATATGAAAATAGCAAAAAATATATGATATAAAAAAATGAAAACAATATGAACCGTAAACCCATATCACAAAATAAAAACATATCTTCTTTTATTTTTTGCAGATTATTTCAATGATGTATTGGCCATCATAAGTAAATGTAGAATTTTCTAAAATGATAGGAGTGGAAATCAGCAGCTAACCCCCTCATTTCACTTTCAGAATCCACAAAGTTGCAGAAGCCATTGCTACACTTTTACATAGTCTTTTGAGGTAAAAAACACACAAAAAGTCTAAAATTGGTTTTCTGCTGTATTGCAAACAAAACTCACATCACACACACAGACAAACAAAAGTAGCTTAGAAAAATGCAAATTATACTGATCGTGGGTACCCCTATTCAAGTTGCCTCTATTTTATCTTCCCACCCTTATGCTTCTCCTAGAAACATTAAAGGCAGTTTTGGGTCACCTGAAAATTGATAACTCAGCTTGAAAATTTTATTGAAGGTTTTTTTTTCCAGTAATGCACTTGTGATAACCATGGCAACTTGGAGTTCTGCCGTACCTTCTGTTTGCTGATAATTTGTCCCAAAATCTTAGTTTAATGATCCTGACCGTACATATGTAAATTGTTATTCATGCATTCATGTGTTGAAAACAACAATTACAATCTCTTTTTTCTTTTTATATAGAAGCGACCAACTGGAATTAAATATTTTAAAATTCATCTCTGCAATCCTACAACATGGTAGCAACAAACGTCTTGCAGACTGGATTGTTTCCCAGTATTCCCATATTTGACTACAGGACAGGTGTCTTTCTAAAGCCAACATGTTCTGTGCTGGTACAATTCATTGTTTGTGAACAAAACATCACTTTTTTTTTTGCATAAAACAAGACTGCCATAGCACCATGCACCTGTAGTAGCTAGAATGCAGGAGTTTCTTTCTTAAAAAAAATTGAGCATCTTTCTCTGAAGAGGAGAGTAAAACCACTACAGTTTGTGCTTGCAGACATTTCCAGCAAAGAACAAGTTGGATCACCATTGCAGTGCCATATCTTGTTTGCTCCAGACATATTTGCCTCCTCGCTTGAAAAACATATTTTCATCAAAGCCACTGAATTGTATAGCATGTTTAACTCCTATATCCAGGATTGACCGAGATGGCTCTTTCCGGCCATTTGCACAGTTGAGAAACCGCATCTGAGAAAAACACAAAAGAAAGAAATTACAGCAGAAGAGAATTAACATCTGTGTACAGCTGTTCTACCAAGTTATATGGTTTCAAGTTAATGCCTAATTCCAATCCTGCAAATGACTTCAAGTAGTTATATACATGTGAATGTTATTAATATTTATGGCTCTGAATGATACCAAATACCATAGTGTATTTGTTTTTAGCTCATGTGTAAAGATTTCAGTCATCAGATCATAACTCCCTTCGTTTGGTGCCATTGTAATTTCATGTGGTCACTGAATGAATAGTTGTTTGTTGAGGAATAGAAATGAAACAACAACAGCAACATAGACCAAACTGTCTGAAAAGTCTTTCCAGAAACCTTCATTTAGAGGAGTCTATAGTTTCCCAGGCCAAAATACATATGTTTGTAGGTATCAATCAGTTGGTCTTGGCAAAAACTAATATCTCAATCGAGATGTTCACAGCACAAAATTGATCTCAAGACAAACTGCAGAAATGATTCAACTGGAGGTATAATCTCCCACCAAAGCAGGGGAGTTACGATGAATCAATGCATACTCCAGAGCTGTAGAAAGAAATTGATTTATTTGAACTTCAAAATTTGCTTCAACCTAGCAGTTGCTGTAACTAAAGATGGGCTTCAAGGGACTGAAAGAGATGCTTATGAGATATGCAGTATCTCAATATTGTACTGATTGTCTGAATGTTTCCCTCTTTTCCTTTTCTTTTAGCTTATTTATCTCAACATCTCAAAGTACCTGAGTTTTAAGTATGTGCATACAATGTACAGTTGTACTGCCCATATGTGCACTGCTCTCTTTTTGTAAATGCACTTTTATTCCAATGCAGTGGGTTGCACTGAATGCAATGGACTCACTATTGAATAAACATATACAGTTTTTTTAAAAATAAAAAAAACTTGGGAAGGGGGGGGATAGGAAAAGAGTCCACTTGTCCATGAATCTATTTTAAATTAAAGAATATATTGAGGAGTCTTTGGTGCTCTCTGAGCTTGCTTGTTTTATTGCAGATATTTCATTATCAAACTAGGTAACATCATCAGTGCTAGTCTAGCACTGATGATATTATTTTCAGGAAAACAACTGAGCTCAGAAAGCACCAAGGACCCCTCATTTCAACCTTTATTGAAAGAATATGCTATTCACAACAATATCATACAAGTGATGTTGTAAATGACATTATTGCATCACATTTACGACCTTGCCCAAATGATATAAAATGATGTAAACACAATGGAAATTTTCATCTGTTGTATTCAAAATCTGTGGCTCTACAGCTCACCAAATCAAGTTTTCACAGTATAAGGGAGACTTATACCTGAAGACTAATATTTTATTAGTTCTGGTTAATACAAATCAAGTTTTCACAGTATAAGGGAGACTTATACCTGAAGACTAATATTTTATTAGTTCTGGTTAATACAAATCAAGTTTTCACAGTATAAGGGAGACTTATACCTGAAGACTAATATTTTATTAGTTCTGGTTAATACAAATCAAGTTTTCACAGTATAAGGGAGACTTATACCTTAAGACTAATATTTTATTAGCTCTGGTTAATACAAATTCAGTTTTCACAGTATAAGGGAGACTTATACCTGAAGACTAATATTTTATTAGCTCTGGTAAATACTAAACTGCAATATGTGCTGATTTCAGGGGTTTTACCTCCAAGAAGTATAAATTACAATCTCCCTATGGCAAGGACTGAAATAAAGCTCTGACTTCAGAAACAGGAAAAAATATTTTCAAAATAGAGAGCAAATAAAATAACAAACCAAATGACTTACATATTCATCCAGAATTAAATAGGAATCTCTCATCTGTGAAAAGACAGGGAAGCAACAACTTTAATTTACCATAATGTATAACTTTATATTAGAGAGTGAGGCATAAAAGCCAGCTGCATGATTTTGCGCCAGTCACTCTCTCCTAGCCCAATCCACCTCAGAGGATTATTGTTGTCGAGAAAATAGGAGAAGAAAAATGTGTAGGATGTGTTTGCCATCTTGCATTATTTGTAAAGTAATAAAGGTGGGATAAAAATCTAATGAATAAATTAAAAAACAATAAAATATTTCATTTATGTACTTCATATAGCTTATTTTTTATTTTGAGCTGTTGTTTTAAAATAGGGCAAACATAGTCCTTAACGTAGTATGCAAATTAAAAGCTACCTGTGCATAGAGAATTAAATTAGTAAAGAGAAAGAGTCTATCGTGGAAATCTGATGTGAGTTTGCCAATCCAAATTGTAGTCACTAAATGAGGACTACTTTTATACGGAATCATTATTGTCACAGCCACTGGAGTCTTTAAGTTTCCAATATTAGACAGAAACTTTTATTTGGAATCCATAAAGAATTTATTAGCTTGAGAGTAACCCGTAAAACTTATAGAAAAGTTGAAGACTTTTCATACATTTGTTGATGAGACCATATGATACAGCAATGCTATTGGAAGGCAAGATCTTAACAGTTTCAGCAAAATACTGTGTGTTCCCACACCAAGATCCATATTTCTTTTACATTTTTTAACTGGGCTTTTATATGTAGTCCTCAAGTTATGACCGAAATTGAGCCCAAAATTAAAGTTGTAATTAAGTGGGTTATTGAGGTGACTGAGGTGATTTTATGGGGATTTTTTGTGTTAAGTGAATCATTGTAGTCATTAAGGGAACTCATTGGCTACAACAGGTATTTTTTTTCCTGGAAATTGGAAGTAAATGCTGGTTTCTGGCAAAAAAAAAAAAAAAGTCATAAACTGCAGTCATCTGACTCTAGGACAGGGGTAGACAACCTTGGCTCTTTTTTTTTTTTTTTAATTAAAAGTTTTATAAATTTTACAAAAAAACAAAAACAATACAAAACAAAAGACAACATATACAAAGAAAGGAAACAATACATATATAAAAAAAAAAGCCCCATCCCCCACCCCTCCCAAAAACCCTCCCTTCCCCCCCCTGAGCTTCCCAGAGCAGAATATAGGCTTAAGAAATAAAAATAAAAATTAAATTAAAAACTTTATATTTATATATATATAAAAAATATCTATAATATATATGAAAATAAAACTTATGAAAAAGCTATATAATATTTTTGTATACCCAATCTAAATTGTATAAATTTTATCCATTTGTCCCAAACAGCAAAAAACTTCTCTTACGTTTGTTGCTTTAAGAAAGCCGAAATCTTTGCCATTTCCACCAGATAAGCTACTTTAAGAAACCATTCCTGCAATGTAGGCAAAGATTCCTTCTTCCAATATTGTCCTACTAACAGCCTAGCGGCTGTAATCAAGTTTAACATCAATACAACCTCCTTTGTATCACAATCTGTAACAATACCTAACAAAAATAATTGCGGAGTAAATTTTACCCTCCTTCTAAAAATTCTCTGGATATTCCACCATATTTTGATCCAAAATGCTTTTATCTCTCTGCATGACCACCAAATATGATAATAGGAAGCCTCCTTATAACCACATCTCCAACATTTGGGTTGCACGTCAGGGTACATATAAGACATTTTTTGTGGATCAAGGTGCCATCTATAAAACATTTTATAAAAATTCTCCCTTAAGTTCTGTGCTTGAGTAAATTTGACATTTCTCACCCAAATAGTTTCCCAGGTGTCCAATGAAACTGGCTCACCAAAATTCTGCGCCCATCTAATCATACAATCTTTAATTAGTTCCGTTTCTGAGTCCAATTCAACTAAAACCCCATAAATTCTCTTAATGTGGGTTTGTCTTTGATCCTTCAGTTGCTTAATAAGGTTTTCATCTTCTCTAAGAAAACCCACCTTACAATCCATCTTCCATCTATCTAATAATTGCCTATATTGGAACCAAGAATAAGTAAAATTTTCTTGTGCTAACTCTTCCCGTGATTTTAATTGCCAGTTTTGTCCATCCCATTTAAGTAACTGTCTATAAGACACCATATCCATTTTAACCCCTCTTTTTATTGCTTCTATCGCATGCCAAGGTATAGCCCATAATGGTACTTTGAAATCACTTTTATAATATTTTCTCCAAATCCTAAGTAAAGAAATTCTTAAGATATGAGATTTAAAAGCCCAATCCATTTTTTTATTAAATATTAAATAGGCATGCCACCCATAAAGTAAATCCCATCCCTCTAAGTGAAGTATCTCAGGATTTGTCAAATTTACCCAATCACTAATTAGTGTTAAGACCACCGCATCATAATATAATTTCAAATTTGGTACCTTAAGTCCACCCCTCTCACGGAAGTCTTGCATAATTTTAAACTTAACCCTTGGCTTTTTCCCTGCCCAAATAAATTTATTAAGACCCTTCTGCCACTCATTTAAATTAATCTCATTTTTCAAAATTGGTAACATTTGAAACAAAAAAAGAAACTTGGGTAGAATATTCATTTTTATCACTGCAATTCTTCCCATGAGGGATAATTGCAACTTTTCCCAATTCTTCAAGTCCTTCTGTACCCTGACCCACAACCTTTCATAATTGTTTTTAAATAATTTTACATTAGAAACAGACAACATCACCCCCAAATATTTTACCTTGTTAACAATCTCAAAACCCGTCAAGTTAGCCAAAATCTGCTTCTCCTGACTAGACATATTTTAACCTTGGCTCTTTTATGACTCGTGGACTTCAACTCCCAGAATTCCTGAGCCAGCCATGCTGAGGGGAAAGGGAGAGGTTTTCAAGCTGAGCTATGCTGGCTCAGGAATTCTGGAAGTTGAAGTCCACGAGTCATAAAAGAGCCAAGGTTGCCTACCCCTGCTCTAGGACATGGCCATAAATGAGGGCCTTTGGCTGTGACCTGCAGGGGGTGAGGGACAGTCATCAAAACTTTGAATCAAAGTTGAAAGTATCTTTTTGGGGGGTTCATCATAATTTCAAACAGTCATTAAGTGACCAATCGTAAATCGAAATATCTGTATTATAAATAATTCAAGGCAACAAACAAACTTAAGACTGCTATTTCCATTTAATTTGTTCTTATAAAAGAACAGATCATTTAAAAAAATATAATCCAAATTGGGGGAGGGAAATCAAAGGTTGTGGAAAGAGTTATTTTCATTCCTTTAATGTCTAAAATGAAACAAACTGAGGTCCTAGAAAAGTTAAATTCCGTCGAACCCAACACTAATTTGTGGTTTTGCCAAACCTAAATTTGCCTCATTAATGCTGTTATTCAGACAATTCACTATCAACAGTTATGTGATGTATTAGGATATTATCACTATATCACAATACAGTAATAATGGAGCTTTATATGTCTAATTATTATAGTGGCCCAGTGCTTAAGAAATGATTGTCACGTCTGTTAATTTCTGATGCAAAATTGCTTGCAAGAGTTATTAATAAAAATGTGCAGCAATTCCCCTTGGTGTAACACTGGGCATCTGGACTCCAATAATACAGACCGAAAATGCTAAGGAGCATAAACTGCAAACATTCTAACAAATCCTCGCTAAAAAGCTTTCTTATAGCAAAAGAAAAAAAAAGAACCTGGATAAATGCATTTTGCTGTTAGCAATCAGAATCGGGACTTCTAATGCCAACATTAAATATATTGCTTTCAAAATGTATCAACATTCATCATGATTACCTTTTGATTGGATTCAGGGACTAAGCATGGGAGATCTTTATGACGGTGCACAAATCTTTCAAAATCTTCATCATCGATGATGAACCTTTCAGCTTCTCTCATAGATTCCTCCCCCGTATTTTCTCCTTCAATGAGCAAACACTGAAATATCTAGAAAGCATCAACTCTATGATTAAGAGACAACTCTTGCTGGTCACCATTACTGTGCAATAGAATAATACTACAAAGAAAATTTAATGAAAGCTTTTAATTCTGTAAACTGGAGGTCGGGCAGCATATACATGTATTTTTATTATATGAGTAATTTGCAATTATATTTAAAGACTGGTGAAAACTTCAGCTTCTGGATTTTGTGCTTGAAATGGAAGAAAATAAAACTTTTGATTTTGGGTTTTGCTGATTAGATAAGTTTGTTGTTATAGAAATGGCTAGTGCATATTATGCATGTAAATGTAAAAAAGTTGAGGCTGAAATGTTACTATTCTCGTCTACTGGGCTAAAAAGAATCAGAAGTCAATGCTTTCCTTTCATTTTCCGCCTACACGTTTCCCTCCCTAATTTTTCATTTTCATTTTCTTCTGTATTTTATATCTCGATAAGCTTAATACAATTATTAAAAAAGACTGATGAAAACGATGAAGTCTAACCAAGGATTATTGGTTAGAACAGTGTTTCTCAACCTTGCAAACTCTAAAATGTGTGGACTTTAACTTCCACAATTCCCCAGCCAGCCGTGATGATTTGTAGGGTGGTCAACGGTTACAGACCCCTCTGAGAGGACCATATTGAAATCAGATTTATATGAGGAAGCGCAGGTGTGCAAAACATTTTAAATTTTGAGTTTCAGGTAGAATTCCATTTTGGTGACAATATAGGTCAGAAAAGAAAAAGGTATACGGATAAGTGAAGGTTCGTTCTCTGAGCTTGTGGGTTGGTTTCCGAACGTTACCAGGCTCGGTAACATCTTCAACGGAGTTTAGAGGATATGAATAAGTTATATTACATTTGGAATAAGTAAATTACTTATTCCAAATGTAATATAACTTATTCGTATCCCCTAAACTCCACTGAAGATGTTACCTAGCCTGGTAACCATATATGTTCAGCAAAAGATTTAAAAAAATGGTTTCCAAAAGATGCAGATCTTTATATTCAACTAACTTACCATCATCTAATGGATGTTGAAAACATTGTGGTATATACAAAATGAATGGGGACTTTTAAAGATCCTTTGCCAAAATGTCCAAGGCAAATAACCCTTAAATGCAAAATAGTTAAACATTTCTTACTTGGGACTCTGGAGACTGCAGAGGCCCAGGTATCATAGATCAACACCATCACTATAGTTTTGATAATGGTTTATATTGACCTATGTTGTAGCAACAGAACAAAGTTCTTTTGAAGAAACCAGTGGATTCCAAATCCTTTCATTTAAATTATATTTCTTTGTATCAAGTCCAGATCCCTTTAAGGGGCTGAAGTTAACTTTTCCAAGAAGTCAGAAAAATAATGGACAGGGTAGTGACAAAAAATGAACCAGATCCATGCCACCCACATATGGACAGTTTCTTCAAGAATATGAGTTGTTTTTTTAAAAATATTTTAGGGGCCCTACCTGTTATAGCTAATATTTCACACTTTATAATACTGAAAGTTATGCTGTCCATCTTCTGCTCTTACCTTCCAGCGGACAGGATTTAGAGCTTTGATCTTCTCATTCATGTCTTCTTCCACATTGAAACGATTGATCACGGAATTTATTTTGAAAGCAACACTGTATTTTTGGCACCATATCTTCAGTTTTTCAAGATTTTCGACATGATTTTTCTTCCCTTGCCCACGGCCAATTAAAGCATTGACTTCTTCATTGAAGCTATCACACGATACAGCAAGAATATCTAGATAGACCCCTAAAGCAGAAGGAGTTCACTAGTAATTAATACCATCAGCCAATTGTCCTCTAAATTTATCATTTTCTAGGTGAAAAATCATTTCCTTGATTATAAACATAACTATAATTTATTATGCTATGTTTAAACTGCTGGCTTACTGAAAATTACAATCGAACATAACATACAAATTAAAACTCTTCTTCTTCTTTACTTCCTCTTTACCACTTCAGTTGTCAAGGGAACCAGAAAAACTAACATTATTTGAAATTACCCTGTTATAAACAAGTGATTTAATATTTTGTTATTTATATGTTCAGTCAACCAAACCCTCTTTAGAATATGGAAACCAAAATGAAGCACATAAAGATATTTAAGATGGAAGGTAAAATATACATGCTGATGGTAAACCCCAAAATCATCAAATGACAAAAGTAACCACTGTTAAAATACCAAAGGGAAGAAATTGTAAAACAACATTTGTTGGGTTAGGTTCAGTCTGTAATGTGAATCCAGCAGTGGCTAGAAATCCTAATTCATGGCTGAACATGCTGTGCAAACCTTGTGCAAACCTATTGAAGGTTTCAGAATGATATAAGCATAAAATTCTCAGAACAGAGAGATACAGATGTGAGATTATGCCATGCCTCCATGTATGTAATTTTAAATGATTTTACCCAGTAGTGGGATTCAAATATGGGAACAACCGGTTCTCTGTGTGGATACTGCTTTTGGAAGTCCATTCTGGGCCTGGGCAACAAAAAATTAGCTACCGGTTCTACCGAAGTGTTGCGAACTGGCTGAATCCCACCACTGATTTTACCACCACCACACTGGAGGGGAGTATACCATTTTGAGAGCTTCTATATATACCCTCTCCTTGCAAGTGATGAACACCAGGACATAAACAAGTCCTAAAATCTAATGCCTTAAATATAATCATCTAAAGTGTTCAGTTCAGTTCAGTTCTTAGTAGAGGATTTGAATCCCACATATTAATTTCTGGCTACTAATGTCTGCCAATTTCTAAACAGAATGAAATTGGCCATGTGGTGCTTTCTGGTGGTCAGTGTCATTGTGAAAGTAGTAATTAATAAACAAACTTTTAGAAATTTCACTAGAAGCCCCCTAATTCCAAGTCATGCAATTGGTCTATTAAGTTCAGTACAATATTGATTGTAATAACTGAAAGCAGTTCTTCAAATTTTGAAACCTCAGGTTTTCCAAGGACAAAAAACCAGGATGCTGTTTTTGGCTGACCTAACCTGGGTCATCTTAAATGCGAAACACATACTCTACCTCTGAGCTATTATTGTTCCCCAATATTGCTAGTGATAACATTTATATTAAGCGCTGTACATTGAACAGTTTGAAGCGAAGAATGAAAAGAGATGAAAAGCAACTGTTTTAGGAACTTTATTTTCTAGGGGAGGACAAATTTCCAAGAACTAGGGGGATAATTTTATCTCCCCAACCAGAAAGATTTTTTATATGCTGCCAAGTTCAACCCAGGGAGTGCAGTGCGCCAGTTCAACATGCCCGCTAGCAAGTTGTGCTCCTAATTAGGATATTCCATTCAATGTTTCATCCTTTCTTTATTTTGACCCACGTCAGATGGTCAGAGAAATCTCTTTGCTCATTAAATTGGGTTGATTTGGGAATATCCTTTTGTTGTTGTTTTTTAACATTTTCATTAACTCTTTAGATCAGTGGTTCCCAACCTTTTCTATACCCCATACCTCTAGAATGCTTCTGATATATTCTTGCACCCCTTACAAAAGTTCAAAATAATGGCAACGAATTATGCATATACACTATAATTTTGAAAACCCAAGTTTTCGCACCCCTTGGAATATCGTTTTGCACCCCTAGAAGGTGCAAGCACCCTGGTTGGGAACCCCTGCTTTATATTTTTCCAAGGCCACTGATGCCTGCCTTTTTACATAACATACTCTGCCACCATATATGACAACAAGGGAATGGGTGAATAAAGACATTTGTTTCTTACTATTTTATGAGGTTTTGGACAGACAGGACTATTCTCTTTTGGAAAGTTGCAATCCTTTTATTCTTTTCCCCAGTTAACCAGCACAATAAATATATTATATAATGCTAGAACAGATTGTTATAATTTCTCTTACCATAATATTTGAACCATCTCTCCTTAATCATACTGCCATTGGTCACAATGCTAACACTTGGCAACTTTAGCTCCTCCTTGCAAAATTGGACCAGCTTCCCGACAAACTCGCCTCGCTCATGCAGAAATGGTTCACCACCTGAAAAGTTTATTTTCTCCAGACCTGAGATGTGCCAGAGAGAACAAAAAAGTGATAGAAACATTCAAGCAGTACACCTACTGCAAAAACAATTATAAATAATAATAATACAAATTCAGTAGGTTTTCTAAAGTATTTTTCTCCCTACACGTGAATATAGAATGTCAAATTGCATGGTTTACATAACTCAGTATCATTAATATGCTGTTTTCTTCACCACAGACCCTCTTTAAATACCTTTTGTGGCCATGGACACCCCTCCAAAAGATTTAAATGATAACGTTTCTTCAAGCCTTCGCAGACACACACACACACATACACACCGTGACGACATAGTTGTCCACGGATCACAGGTTGAGAATCACTAATGTAGAGTTTAAATGAGGCATTTTCTCAACCCAACCAAAATATCCCAGACATTAGAGGTGAAGCCACTGGCACACCAAGTGTGTGTCCCATCACTGAGCATATTTCACATATCCCTTGCTGTCTCTTAAATACATAAACACAAAATTCAGTAGATCATAGCTGTTAAAAATTCCAAAGGATCAAAAATGCAAAGTACATGCAAAAGTAGCCATTGAATTCTGTGGAACTTGATTTTAAGTACAATTATAGAGAACACTGTAAAAGCAAAGACTTCCTTGAGTCAATTCCTCATGACTTTATGGATGCATGAAAGCCAAAATGGTGAATGGGCTTTTTTTTTTTTTTTTTTTGGGTGCTTTCAAGTTGACTTTTAGCAACTGCCTGGACTAGTCCCTGCAGTTTTCTTGGTATTGTTTTCCAGAAGTGGTTTGACATTACTTCCTTTCCAAGGCTGAGAGGGAGCGACTTACTCAGGTTACCCAGCTAGTTTTGCACCCATGTGGAGATTACAATTCATGTTCTCCTAGTTTCTACCCTGGTGCCTTAACCACTACATCAAATTGGCTCTCATATGAACATTCTCATGTACTTTTTTATTACAATTTAGAGGAAATTATTATGGTTTGTCGCAGTCAGCCCAATGCTTACATTGGTTTGGCATTTTTGTCCATCTATCAAGTCCTTCCACAGGACATGGAGATAGGCAGATGTTGTTTAATGGTGCTTATTGTATAACTGCAGGATGTAAGCTGTTCAAAGTAAAGCTGCCTTTTGCAATTGACTGATGGTGATTTTGTCAATGCTGATGGTGTTCAAGTGGTGCTCCAGTTGTTTTGGGATTGTACCCAAGGTGCCTATTACTATTGGTGCTACCTTTGCATTCTTTTGCACAGTTGTTTTATTTCTATTTGCAGACCTTTGTATTTTGTGATTTTTCTCCAGGTCTTTCTCTTCTCTTCTGCTGTCTCCAGGTACTGCAATGCCACTATCCAAACTTTTGATTTTCGTATCAAAAATGTATGTGCTTGCATGTTTGAATTCTAAAGTCCCAGAGCATTTAGTTTCTGTTATGTCTATTTTGTGGCCCCACCAGTTCTTGCTTGCAGACAATGGCATTTCTTGCTACATTTTTATGTATTGACCACGTCTTTGCCTTGTCATGTCTATTTTCTATTCTTCATGTGTCTTTTCTATTCTTCATTTGGTCTTTCTTGTAGGCCAGTTTGGTCTCTCTAGTTTAGTACTTAATAAGCTTTCAGGATATACTAGCTTCAGGCCATCTTTTTCATTGTCCTCCAGATCTCCTTCTAATGCTTTTTTTCCCCCTTCACCTGTTTGGTGTGCTTGCAACCTTCCACACTGACCTATTTTCCTTGGTAAGCATTGCTGTGTGGATGAAGGGCATGACTCATTGTCATTATTTGTCTTCCTATCTAGGGTTTTTAGTTCTGCTTGAGTCCAGTCCACCATTCCAGCTGTGTATCTAACATTTGAAATTTGCCCAGGTGTTTGGCTTGATGGCATTTCCCCTAATGAGTTTGAACTATAAAACCTTTATTATTACTACTATATTTTTTTTATCCTGCCTTTTATGTATTTTTATCAGTTCAAGGCAGCAAACCTACTTAATACTCCTGGTTCTAATGTTGCCTAAAACGACCACCCTGTGCAATAGGGTGGACTGCGTTTGCCACTGCTTTTTTTTCCCCCTGGGATCTTTCTGACTTCCCACTGAAGCCTACAGCTTCAAAATAATCTGGTGATATCCTACCAATTATAAGACAATCCTTAGGGTTTTATTTATTTATTTTGTACATCCACCGAGATCAGCTAAGTGGTGGACTAACAGAATTCTGTAGTATTAAGTACAGTAAATCAAGTCCGGATGTCTAATAGCTCAGCAAGGTTTTCAGCTTCAAAGTTGCTTACTCCTAATTAAGAATTCTGTGACAATTAATGGCTTTTTATAAATTTTATTGATTGATGGATTTGTATTAGAAATGTATTAATCTGAATATGTTACATGATTGGTGGGAACTAGAGAGGGAAATTTTAATGACTTAATTTGAATTATACATAAATGTGTTGGTTTTTGGATAATTGACTACCCCATCATCATGCTGTTTCCTAAGCACTTTGTTGTAAAAACTGAAAAACTTAATAAAACTTGTATTAAAAAAAAAGAATTCTGTGAAATGCAGAAGCAGACATACCATAGTCCAGCCTCATTTAATAGAAGGAAAGCAACAAAAGATCGGATGAAACTTTTGAAGTTTAACAAATATAGTACAAACAAAATCTCTTGTGCTTTGCTGTAAAATGTGTCACTATCCTTTAGTAAACTGATCCAATGAGGTTAAGTATTTCAAAAGACACTCTCTTACGCTGGTCCCCACATATAGCCCTCTATTAATATTCTCAAGGAAATCTTGCAAATGCATCATCAGAGGTGTGGGCCAGGGCTGTAAAATGCGTGCATTTTGGCATTTATTTTACACGGCTTACATTGTCAGAATTATTATACACCCCTAGGGTTTTAAAAGCTGAATTGCAGCTAACTGGCCTCGTTATTAATCCATTGATTAATAATTAATAACCAGGAGATTGTGAGTTCTAGTCCCACCTTAGGCATGAAAGCCGGCTGGGTGACTTTGGACCAGTCACTCTTTCTCAGTGACTTACACAATTTAGCTCACCGGGGTTATTGCGAGGAAAATAAGAGTTTGGAAAAGGTGTGTTGGATATGTTTCTTGCCTTGAGTTCTTTACAAAAACAATAAAAGCAGGATCAAACAAACAAACAAAACAAACCAATAAATAAATATTTAAAAGGCAGCATTAACATCCTTGCCAAGGGAGGGTAAAAAGAAGCCAGGAAAATAAAAGTTGCATCTTAAACTTTCATCTTTTCCCCTAGCACAGGGGTAGGTAACCTCGGCTCTTTTATGACTCATGGACCAACTCCCAGGAATTCTGGGAGTTGAAGTCCATGACTCATAAAAGAGCCGAGGTTGCCTACCCCTGCCCTAGCAGTATCATACCCCAGGAGCGTCAAGCAAAGTGCTCTCCCGATAGACAGATCAGCTCCATCCCCACTGATAGAGCGCGAACCCTTCCGCCACTGGTTCAACCCCAGCCCCTCCGTAGCTTCCCGGAGCCGGCAGGGAAGCGGTCACTTACCCGCTTCCTTGAGCAACCGGAGCCCCCTCTTAGCCTCCTGCAGCGGCAGGACGAAAGAGGTCTTGGCCGTGTGGAAGCAGAAGCCGCACTTATAATTGCACTGGCGGGTGAAGTGATAATTGACGCTGAGCGGCACCGGCGGGCGAGGGGCGCCCGGCTCCGGGGCTGCGCTCGGGGAGACCCTGCGGCGGAGCGGCCCCCAAAGGCAAAGGAGCGCCAGCCGGCTGCAAAGAGCCGCCAGAGCCTGGAGCAGGAGACGGAGGAGCTGGCGGGGAGGCAAGTGCATGGTGCCTTCTTTCGCCTTCGCTTCAGCCGCGAATTGGCGGCGCTCGAACGGAGAGCGCGGCTTTTAAGTGGGCAGATAACGGCGCGCATGTGATCGCCGCTCGGCTGCCCCAAGTTTCGGTTTCCTTTACGGAGAAATTGCTCGGTGCCGTTCAAGTGCCCAGACTCGCGGCGCCTTTTATGGGGGGGGGGAGCGGTGGGGTGCTGCCAGGCGGCGCTCCGAGAGGAGATGCTGGCGGGGGGGGGGGAATGGGACCAGTTAGGAAGCTGGAAGTGGCAGAGTTTAGAACTTGAATCAGACTGTCGCTCCGGCAAAATGCTTGGCACAGAACGGCGCGCGTAAAGTGCGCTTCAAAGGAAGGGGTTTGGCGTGGCGAATTGCAAAGACACAATGCTACAAGAGACCCTCCCCACAATTCTTCTCATCAGACGATAGAGGGGGTTTCCCCGAAGGACTGAGGCAAAGACAGCCATGCTCATTTGTCAATTTACACCTGTCTATTCTCACACCCCCATCCTTGTCTTGCCTGCTCAAGACTTCTTACTGGGATAAGACATTTCTGTCAGTGAGGGGCACTCAAAGCTTGTCGGGGGGGGGAGGATACTTGGGCTCTGCCAAGAGCATGGGTTTTGCGACCCTCAGAATAGTGGGCCAAAAAGTCAAGACTTCGTTTTACTTTCTTTCTTTTTTGTTAAGTTTGGGGATTTCTGTGAAGCAAAGCTAAGGCAAACCTGACAGGGATTCATTTCACAACTGAGATTTCTTCTTCTTCTTCTTCTTCTTCTTCTTCTTCTTCTTCTTCTTCTTCTTCTTCTTCTTCTTCTTCTTCTTCTTCTTCTTCTTCTTCTTCTTCTCCTCCTCCTCCTCCTCCTCCTCCTCTCTTCTTCTTCTTCTTCTTCTTCTTCTTCTTCTTCTTCTTCTTCTTCTTCTTCTTCTTCTTCTTCTTCTTCTTCTTCTTCTTCTTCTTCCTCTTCCTCTCTCTCTCTCTCCCCTTCCCTCCTTCCCACGACTTTGCATAATGGCCTTTGCTTGCTCTCTCTCTCCCCTCCCCTTCCCTCCCCCCCCACCGCTTTGGAGAATGGCCCTTGCTTGGGGTAGCCCTCCTTGTGCATCCATAACTTCCAGAAGGATGAGGAGGCAGCCTTGCATGCTGGCCAACCACATTTCAGTGTAGCATATTGCATAAATCTAGTGCGGGTGGGTGGGTTAGTTTGTGTTAGGATATTGCAAAAGTATACAAAATGGGATAACTGAATTTACCCATGGATAGTTATGTCTCCTGAACACAGCCAGCAGACAGATATTTGTGTTTGACACCATTTGTATTAGAATAAGACCTAGAGTCTTAGAAACAGTACCAGATTTAGGGTTATATCTATAAAACTATAAAACATACAGGAATATTTTTCCTCATCTAGGAAGAATATATTGTATCTTAATTCTATTGTGGCAGTATATTGTTTGCAATAGTGGCAAAATATATTATGTCTCTGATCAATAAGTACATTAGTTAGTGTCTGAATCATTGACTCATAGGGCTGGAAGGGACCTCTGGAGGTCTTCTAGTCCAACACCCTGCCCAAGGAAGAAGTTCTTATACCATCCTGGAAAAACGGTTGTCCAATCTTTGCTAGAAAATCTCCAGCCATGGAGCACTACAATGCCAGGAGGCAAGTTGTTCCATTGATTAATCATTTATACCCGGGGTAGGCAACCTTGGCTCTTTTATGACTCGTGGACTTCAACTCCCAGAATTCCTGAGCCAGCCATGTCCACGAGTCATAAAAGAGTCAAGGTTGCCTACCCTTGGTTAAAAGAGGTGGATGCAAATAAAACAGAAGTTGAAATGAAAGAACTAGTAATAACAACAAAAATGGTAGAAAAAAGAGCAAGGAAAATCAAAAATTGGTCAGTACCAGGTGAAGATGAACTGCATGGGTTTTGGTTGAAACATCTAACTGTTATACACCCACTCATTGCCAAACAGTTCAACAATATACTACAAGGAGGAGAAATTGAAAAGTGGCTAACAACTGGGAAAACCTACCTAATAATGAAAAATCCAGCAAAAGGGGCAACACCAGGTAACTACAGGCCAATTACCTGCTTACCAACAACTTTCAAATTACTAACTGGTGTGGTAGCTGATGCAGTACAACAGCATCTAGTTGAAAACAATCTCTTTCCACCTGAGCAGAAAGGAAACCGCCCCAATAGCAGAGGAACAAAAGATCAACTCCTAATAGACAAAATGATCTTGGAAAACTGCAAGAGAAGGAAGACCAACCTGAATGTGGCATGGATTGACTACAAAAAGGCATTTGACTCTCTGCCACATGATTGGATAATCAAGTGCCTAGAAATAACAGGAGTCAGTAGAAACATCAGAAAATTTGTGCAAAGATCGATGGCACAATGGAAGACACAGTTGCAGATCAATGGTGAGAAGCTGGGAGAGGTTAATATCAAGAGAGGAATATTTCAAGGAGATTCATTATCACCATTACTATTTGTTATTGCACTGTTTCCTCTGTCAACAATACTGAATAACTCAGGACATGGCTATCAAACATCAAAAACATCTGCCAGACTATCCCACCTCCTTTATATGGATGATCTGAAGCTGTATGGAAAAACATCATCTGAAATAGAATCGCTGCTCAACACTGTCCGTATATATAGCCAAGATATTGTTATGGAGTTTGGCTTGGACAAATGTGCCACACTTACTATCAAACAAGGAAAAATAGTGAAAACTGAAGGAATCAAGATGCCCCACGAAAATAACATTAAGAGTCTGGATGAGGAAGAGTACTACAAATACTTGGGTATCCTTCAAGCTGACAACATCAAGCACACTGAAGTCAAGAAAAAGATTAGAGGTGAATACATCAAGAGAGTGAAGAAGATCTTAAAGTCCAAACTCAATGGAGGAAATACCATAAAGGCAATCAACACCTGGGCAATCCCAGTCATTAGGTACACAGCTGGAATAGTGGACTGGACTCAAGCAGAACTAAAAGCAATGGATAGGCAGACCAGAAAAATAGTGACAATGAATCATGCCCTTCATCCACGCAGTGACATTGACAGACTTTATCTACCAAGGCAAATAGGTGGGCGTGGAATGCTACAAGTACATCAGATGGTTGAAGAAGAAAAAATGGCTTTGGAAGAATATCTGAAGAACAATGATGAAGATGCACTGAAATTAGTATATCAGGAAGGCTTACTGACTACTGGAGAGACCAAACTGGCCTACAAGAAAGACCAAATGAAGAACAGAATAGAGGCATGGGAAGACAAAGCACTACATGGCCAATACATGAAAAAAATAGCTGGGAAAGCAGATAATAACAAGACCTGGCAATGGCTAAGAGCAGGAAAATTGAAGAAAGAGACCGAGGGACTAATTCTGGCTGCACAAGACCAAGCCTTAAGGACAAATGCATACAAAGTCAAAATTGAGAAGACAGCAACAGACAGTAAGTGCCGCCTATGCAAAGAAGCTGAAGAAACAGTGGACCACCTGGTAAGCTGTTGCAAGAAGATTGCACAGACTGACTACAAGCAGCGGCATGACAAAGTAGCAACAATGGTGCATTGGAAGATCTGCAAAAAATATCATTTGCCTGTAAGCAAAAACTGGTGGGATCATAAAATAGAGAAAGTCATAGAAAATGATAAAATTAAACTGCTCTGGGACTTCAGAATTCAAACAGACAAGCACCTGCAACATAACACCCCAGACTTAACAATTGTCGATAAGAAAGACAAAAAAGTCTGGATAGTGGACGTGGCAGTGCCTGGAGATAGCAGAATAGAAGAGAAAGAATTGGAGAAGATAACAAAATACAAAGACCTACAAATAGAAATAGAAAGACTGTGGCAAAAGCAAGCAAGGGTAGTACCAATAGTAATAGGCTCCCTTGGGTGCAATCCCAAAACAACTGGAGCACCACTTGAACACCATTGGCATTGACAAATTCGCTATTAGTCAATTGCAAAAGGCGGCCTTATTAGGAAACTGCTTCCATCCTGCGACGATATCTGTAATACCATCAAACATCCACATCTGCCTATCCCAGGTCCTGGGTAAGGACTCGATAGGTAGACAAAATGCCAAATCCAGTCTGAACATCTGGCTGGACTGTGCGATGATCCATAATAATATGCAGTACAACAGCATCTAGTTGAAAACAATCGCTTTCCACCTGAGCAGAAAGGAAACCGCCCCAATAGCAGAGGAACAAAAGATCAACTCCTAATAGACAAAATGATCTTGGAAAACTGCAAGAGAAGGAAGACCAACCTGAATGTGGCATGGATTGACTACAAAAAGGCATTTGACTCTCTGCCACATGATTGGATAATCAAGTGCCTAGAAATAACAGGAGTCAGTAGAAACATCAGAAAATTTGTGCAAAGATCGATGGCACAATGGAAGACACAGTTGCAGATCAATGGTGAGAAGCTGGGAGAGGTTAATATCAAGAGAGGAATATTTCAAGGAGATTCATTATCACCATTACTATTTGTTATTGCACTGTTTCCTCTGTCAACAATACTGAATAACTCAGGACATGGCTATCAAACATCAAAAACATCTGCTAGACTATCCCACCTCCTTTACATGGATGATCTGAAGCTGTATGGAAAAACATCATCTGAAATAGAATCGCTGCTCAACACTGTCCGTATATATAGCCAAGATATTGTAATGGAGTTTGGCTTGGACAAATGTGCCACACTTACTATCAAACAAGGAAAAATAGTGAAAACTGAAGGAATCAAGATGCCCCACGAAAATAACATTAAGAGTCTGGATGAGGAAGAGTACTACAAATACTTGGGTATCCTTCAAGCTGACAACATCAAGCACACTGAAGTCAAGAAAAAGATTAGAGGTGAATACATCAAGAGAGTGAAGAAGATCTTAAAGTCCAAACTCAATGGAGGAAATACCATAAAGGCAATCAACACCTGGGCAATCCCAGTCA